AGCGGGGTTGGTTTTTTTCCCACGTAGGCACGACCTCTGCTTTTGCGTTCGCGCGTGGGTTCCCGCTGATGGTTGGCACTGAGATGGTTTCGCTGCTTCGTCTCTTTGTTGCTTCGTCTCTTTGTTGCTTCGTCGCTCTGTTGCTTCGTCGCTCTGTTGCTTCGTCGCTCTGTTGCTTCGTCGCTCTGTTGCTTCGTCGCTCTGTTGCTTCGTCGCTCTGTTGCTTCGTTCCTTTGTTCCTTCACTGTTTTTTTGCTTCCCTCTTTTGTTGTTTTTTTTTTTTATTTTCATGCCTTTTTGCCTGACCCGTTCAGGCAATTCTCGTTGGCAAAAAAAAAGCTAGCTGCATTGGACTAAGGGAAACGGAGTGGAGATTACGCCACCCTGGGGAAGGAACATATTATATACCGAGGTGGCGACGCCAAGAAAAAAAAAATGGAGCTGCCCGACCGGCGTGAAAGAGAAGGTGGCTTTCGCTGAATCGACAGGTGGAAAAGATAGGAAGAAAAAAACAAAAAAGAGAGAAAAAAAAAAAAAAGCAAAAAAAATAGAAAAAAACATTCCGATTTGTATTGCATCATTGGAGCTTTTTCGAAGCGTTGATTTTTTCCTTCTCTCTCTGGACCCCGCTGCGTTTTATACACGCTTCGCTCCTTGAACTTCGATTCTCCCGTTGACGTCCTGCGTGGCGTAGCGCAGCGGCACAGAAGGGAGGGCTCCCCGATTGGATCGGATTCGCACATGTGAAAGGATTATATGCTTCCCCTTTTTGTTGTATTCTTCGATGCCCCATTTGTGGCATCAAAGGAGAGCTCAAATAGTATGCCCCGCCGCTCCCCCCTCCGGTAATGGTCTCATTCCCCCCCGGTTTAGAACCTCTGCATAGGTTGCAAGAGTTAGCTGTGAATGTGCACGCCCATATAGGTAGCTGTACGATCTCCTTGTAGAAGTTTCGCCCCACCGGTGTGAGGAACAACCGTAGGGGAAGGACGCGCCAAGGGAGAAGACACCCCCAAGAGGTCACTCTGGGAAGGCAGATCTGCTCGCCTAAGCGAGGGGCAACGTAAGTTGCACGTGAAGGTAGGGTGTACGTCAAGGTACACGCAGAAGTACACGCCAGAATGCAGGCGAAGGCGCAGGAGGAGCAGAAGGGCGAGGAGCTGAGCCAGTTCCTGCAGGTGCTGGAGGAGGAGTTCGCCCTGTGTCAGGACGGGGGGCAGAAAAGGGAGGAAGAAGAAGAAGACGACCCATGGTCGGCAAGTACCGAAGCGGAGGAGCTAGCAAAGCAGCGGGCGTACTACCTCCAGCTGAAGGAGGAGAAAAACGTCCAAGTGGAAGAAGCAAAACACGTCACGTCGTTACACCTGAGCAGGAAGTACCACCTTGAGCATAGTAAGGTCCTTGGGATGGCAAAAAAGTTAGAGACCCTCTACTACGTTGTGAATCATGTTAGAAGCTTCAACACGTATCAGTTGACGGATGAGGGGAAGGAGTACCTCCGCCATGGGTCACCCGAATACGTAACGTTGAAGTATGTAGTAGAGCAGCAGACATGTACCCTGGAGGATCTGAAGAAGCTCTTTGGGAAAAAAGGAGAAATCGGATTGAACATCAATTTAAGGGAAAAAAAGATACAACTTGGAAAAAGCGACAGAAGGTTATACCCCCATGTGGAAGGTAAGGCAGACAGTCTGGTAGACGAAACGAGACGCTACCTCGGCATCGTCGAAACGCACGGACATGATGAAGGTACGCTTGTCTCACACCTAAAGGGGATCCTTCCCCCCGAGAACCAGGACGAAAAGGTGAACATCCTCATCAGAGAGCTAAAGAAGAGAAAACTGATGGAGGTGAAAAAGGTGTCCTATATGTACATCATACGAACTAGCCATTTTAGAAGGGAAATTAAAAAACAGATTACGGATCTAACCTACCAACTGATAAAAAATGAGGAATACAAAAAATATGAAGTGAAGAAGTACAATTTTTTTTCAAGTGGGAAAAAAATAAACAAGGGAAACATCCACTTGTTAATCAAACAGATGAGGACATTCAAAGATGTTTTTGTTTCCCTCGGGTTTGAAGAAATGGATACGCATAATTATGTTGAATCTTCCTTCTGGTGTTTTGATGCTCTGTATATCCCGCAGCAGCACCCCAGTAGGGACCTCCAAGATACCTTCTTTGTCCAGACGCCTGAATTGTGCAGGGATAACTTCACCGACAAGACCTACATCGATAATGTTAAGCGGGTTCACTCCGTTGGAGACTATGGAAGCTTCGGTTGGAATTACCCCTGGGAATTGGGAAGTACTAAGAAGAACGTCCTCAGGACACACACCACTGCCAACTCGTGTAGAACCCTATTCCAGCTAGCCAAAGAGTATCAAAAAACGGGTTCTATAATTCCTAAGAAATATTTTAGCATAGATAGGGTATTCAGAAATGAGAATCTGGATAGTACCCATCTCGCTGAATTTCATCAAGTGGAAGGACTCATTGTCGATAAGAACTTGGGACTGTCTCATCTGATTGGAACTTTGGCAGCCTTTTACAAATACATTGGCATTTTCAAGCTGCGCTTCAAACCGACGTTCAATCCGTATACGGAGCCTTCGATGGAGGTATACGGCTACCATGAGGAGAATAAGAAGTGGATGGAGGTCGGAAACAGCGGTATTTTCCGCCCCGAAATGCTGCGCGCCATGGGCTTCCCCCCGGAGGTGTCTGTCATCGCCTGGGGTCTCAGCCTCGAGCGCCCCACCATGATCAAGTATAACATTCGCAACATCAGGGACCTCTTCGGCTACCGCAGTGTGTTCTGAGCGGGGGGAGCGACGATGGAGCGGTTAAGCGGCCATGAAGCAACAGGGCGTCAACGTGTGGCGCGGCAAGCTGTCAATGTGTGACGCAGCCAGTGTGCGAAGGCACCGACGCATCGGCTCAGCTTAGCCACTGTGTGGGGAGTCCCCCCCCTTGATTGCGTTCTTTTCTTTTTTTTTTTTTAATTACGGACCCTTTCGAAAAAGTGGCATTGCGAATCGGACGAACGGAGCGGCAGAAAAGAAAAAAAAAAAAGAAAAAAAAAAAACTTGGGGGCCCCAAAGAACGGTTGCGCTCACCCCAGCGGGAAGGAGAGAAAAAAAACGGGGGGCCCCTTTTGGTCACTTTGGGTTGCCTCTGCGACTTCCAACGATTAAGTGATATCAATTTGTTGTCAACCTGTGTCAATCCTTAGTGAAAGCTGTTACGTTTTTTTTCCTCCTCTTTTCTTTCTCTTTTCTTTCTCTTTTCTTCCCCTTTTCTTCCCCTTTTCTTCCTCTTTTTTTTCAATTTTTTCCCATTCCAACCCCTACCCCGAGCATGAGCCAAAGACGGGGCGCCCGCCCGAACGTCAGCTTCGAACGCCAGGTGCTGTGAGGCAGCACATTAGCGGAACCACAGATCATTGTGTCAGCCGCGCCATCGGATGATTCATCCGATGACTGATCACATGGCTTAGCGCTTTGACACTTTTCCCCAATGGGCCCCCACGTGTCATCAGTGGATGGTCCTTCCCTCGATGGGCAGTTATCCTTGGCACACCCCAACCCACCTTTTTCCTCCCATCTAGGGAGACCCTGCACAGACAACTTCATGATGATAAGGGGCATACTAATCTTTCTGATCCTAATTACGGAGGTGCGGAGGAAATTTCTCTATAACAACCACTGCACGTATTTGTGGGGGTTCCTAACGCTGCTGTGCAGTGTGTTCGTTTTGTCTTTCTTGCGATATAGCAGGAGAGGAAGTAAAAGCCAGTGGAAAATAAAAGGGAAGGTTTTCCCTCCGGGGACAGAAAATGAAACAAGTCCACGTAGTGGTTGCAACCCATTTTGGAGCCCCACCTTAACCATCGGGGCGTATCACCACAGGGAAAAGATCCCACCGGGGTTCATGAACAAAAAGGAGAATCTCATATCTCTGCGTCTGTACGAGAAGGGGATTATTGGCACTTGGCCTTTGCTCCTTCAGATACATGGCGATAACTTTTTCCCGTCGTTTTTTTTCCCCTTTCTCTCAACCCTGCTGGCTTTGAAATATGACGTCTTAAACTCTGGTCAGTGTGAAGCATGGAGAGTCCTCAGCTGTACCGGGGGAGCTCTCCAGCGGAGTGTTGTCCTAAGCCGTCCACTTTAGTCGCGTCACTTTACCCTCCCTATCTTTTTTCTTTTTTTGTCCCCCCGCTAGGCCCGGCGAAGCTCTCCCTCGCCCTCGTGAACGAGTTCCTCCTCGGTAGCGTTTTCCTGCGATACGTGCGGGTGAACGCCTGGGCCTACCTCCTCTTCTACGTTCTCCTCTTTCTCGCGACGCTGGGTAGGGCCACCTTGATGCTTATCCACACGGCTACCGAAACGATGTTGTCAGGCAGCCCCACCCCTAGACACCCCAACGGCGTGCCTCTGCGCCGCTTCTTCCCCTTCCCCAAACCCACAGGCGCAATGCGAATTCACGAGAGCTTCGCTACCTGTTCCCTCTGGTTTGCCCTTAACTTTGTCTTCTATCACATGATCGGAATAGCGGCCTTTCGGCTAACGGATGGGTAAGCGTGGTATATCCGTCTCGAAGAGGAAGCTGAAGTGGAGGCCGAAGCGGAAGTGGAAGCGGAAATGGACGTGCTGATCGTGATGGAAGTTACTATGGCATTTTCTTCTTCCCGTTGAGTATGCTTCTAGGCACACTTGGCTGTTTTTCTTTTTTTAATTTTTTTTTTTTTTTTCCCTTTCCGCTTCTCCCCCTGCAGGGTGTTTTCCTTCCTGGAGGGGGCGACGGTGAGCGTAGCGGGGACCCTCCTCCTGGACGCTTACGCATACGGCCTCTTCCATGCGCACCTCGATGGGAACGTCGTTCCAAGTGTGTTGTCTGTGTTCCTCAGTGGGGTGGTAATGCGCCATGCAGCTGGGAATGCAATTCAAATGTTCCCTGCAAAGTTGCCAATCCATTCTGCGTCCGCCCTGCACAGTCGCCAATCCTTTCTGCTTTTGCCCTGTACGACTGTTTATAGCTCCCCCTGCTCCCCCAACAGGCCCTCAGTTTGACTCTCTATGCCGCCTACTGCGCGTACTTGCTGCGTCGGGCCGACGACCAGAAGGGGAAGGTCCTCATCGCCTCGCTGGCGTTCCTTCTCTACAACATCCTCAACCTCGGCGCCAGAAGATACGACTCTTTGAGTGAAACGGGTAAGAAAACAGGAGAGGGACCCTCCAGAGACAGGCTGCGATTTGGCAAGGCGGTTACGTGTGTTTGCACCAATTTTGTTGCCGTTAAAATTTTTCTTTTCTCTTTTTTTTTCCCTTTTTTTTTCTCTTTTTTTTTCTTTTTTTTTCTCCCCCTTCTAAAGACACAAGTGCGATGCAAACGTTAGTCCACCTCCTATGGAACCAACAGAATTACATTTTAATTTTTGCCTGGCTTGTCATCACAACTCTGTATGTAGTTTACATTGCCAAGTCGGTGAGGAGAAATGGGAACCTGTCTTACCTGAGGAAGCACTACCATTTCCTTCTTTTTGTGAATGTCCAGTTGGCTTTTCTCTTGGGGAAGGTAACCAGTGGTGGTCACTGTGGTGGAGATTGTGGAGGCTTGTCCGGGGGGGTTCTCTCTAGATTCTCCTGTTTCCACCGCGATGATCACCTTTGCACTTGACGCGGCTAATGCTGCTAAATAGGCTAACCTTGATAACCCCCGTAATGCAGGTGGAGCTCCTTGTGGTGACCCTCTCCTTCGCGTTTCTCCTGCTGCTGTTCCTAGAAGTCACGAGAAAAATCGGCGAAGCGCTGTCACCGGATCGAAACGCGCTGCATAAGTTCTTCACCAGGTTTCTGCGAATCAGCCAAGAGACCCATCAAGAAAACGGTGTAGAAGCCGCATAGCAGCGGTGGAAGGAAGGCCTAAAGGCGCCAAAGCGGCGTGTGCGAGTTTTCGCTATACCTGTTCGTGTTTATCCCTCCCCCTTTGCAGTTTTACTGACGATAGAGATAGGAAGGGCCTGGTTGTTACCCACATTTACCTCTTGGCTGGGTAATGTTGGAGGGAGAGGTGCGCCCCCATGGGTGGAGTCCTCTCTGGAATGCGGGCCGTCTCAAGATGAAGGGGATCGGATGATATGTTCCCCCATTTTTTGTTCATTCGTTTGCTTTTTTTTTTTTCCTTTCTCACTTGTTTGTTTTTCTTTTTTTTTTTTTTCCTCCCCAGGGTCTACATCCCAATCGTCGCGGACGCATCGTTGAACAATAAGAACTACCTGCGGAAGGGAACCCGAAGTGTCTTTCTCTTCCGGGACGCCGACCTGCTTCTCTACAGCTCGGGGCTGAATGCAATATGCATAGGCGACTCATTTGTTAGCCAACCGCTTGTCCTCGGGTCGCGTTTCGCGGCGTTATTCGTGTATACCTTAACCGCTCGATAATTTTTCTTTGGGACGTTGCCCAGCACTCGCGTGTGTATCATCAGCCCATGTTGTCCTTTCCCCCCGCAGGCCGCCATCGGGGGACTTCTGTTCCCCACCCCGAAAATTAGAAAGACAAACAACAAGTCGTACGCAGGTGGGGCAAAAATAAGATAATTTGTGAGGGGAAAGTCGGAAGGGAACGAAAACACCTGAACAAGTCAGGCAATTGGCAACCCATTTGTCCAAGTGCAAACATTGTTGCACACAAAGTTGTGACGATGTAGAGACCAAGTGTTGTTCTCTCACAAACTGTATCTCCCCCGTCTATCTTCACCCACCTGCAGGATTTCTCTTTTTTTTTTGTTCTACATTTTTATCGCTTTTGCTTGAGAGCTACTTCGTTCAAGTAGGAAAGGAGCGAGAACTGCAGAGGGTGGGGGGAGCGCAACGCACTGCTGGAGATCGTCCCCTGGTTACACCCCCCTTGCGGGGAAGTACACAGGGTGTGTGTGTTAGGAACGCGCGCCTCCCGGTGAGAGGACGGTAGATCGGGCGTAAAGCGGGAGGGTAGCCCACTGCCCAAGGTCACTTCGCTGCTTCGCTACTTCACTGATGCCCCGCTTCACCACTCCGCAGAAAACACCGTTGGCCAGTTTGACCGCCATTTTTATGGTGTCCCTCTTCGGTGCCTTATTCGAGGTGAGGAACAGCCGAACTAGTGAAAAAAAAAATAATAAAATAAAATAAAAATAAAAATTACATTTTTGCCTGACCCTGCAAGGCAAAATACGCCATTTCAAGCAGAATTTAGCATGACCTGTTCAGGCAAAAATGTAATTTTTTTTTTTCCCCTTTTTCTAAAAGGCATACCTCCACGACATAGATAATTTGATACTACCCCTGTTCACCTTTTGCGTTTACTTGTGCTTCGAGAAGTGAAACTTAACTTGTATGCTATGTCGCATAGGAAAAAGGAAAAAAAAGAAAAAATGAGAAGAGCTTACTTCATGTGTTCGTTCCAAATGATAGGAAAACTTGGGAATTAAACTTAAGCGATAAGTTGTTAATAGTTTTTTTTTTTCCCCACCGCTCTCCACTGCTACGTCCCCGTGTAACTACGATGTCCTACGTTAAGGTAAAAGATCAAATGGAAGTTGCAGAAGGGGGAGAACATGTTAGAGTTGAGTGGACACTTACACTGTTCATTCTCTTCCCACACATAACGGTTTAGGAGTTTATCCGATTGCTGTGCATGCATGTGGGTCTCTTTCCACGTAACCCACGTGTGGTTATCCTTTCCTCATTTGATCGCCACCTGCTCCCCCCCCCCAATGACAGGTACCATCGGACATCACAATTTTGGAGCACAAGTACGCGAGGAAGAATGAGAAGAGAAGGATCAATTTTTTTAAGAGGCTGTTTATCCATTTTTCCTTTTTCACCATCGGAAATAACTGCAATAAATTGAGCAGCCATGATGTGATTAAGGTGCTATCGAATGTGTATGTAGGTAGGGACGATGGAGATGAGTCACCTAAGATGCCATTCGATATGTTCCTTCGAGGGGAATTGCCCCGTAATGGAAAGCTTCCCTTTCGTGGAGAGCTTCCCTGTCGTGCGTCCCCTCTTTTGACACACTGCTCCTACCAGTTGGTCATCTTAACCGTCACGATTTTTTCATCCCTCCCACAGATGATCCAAGTGAAAGTAGAAATCTGAACCCGATTAATATTATCAACATTTTGAATACGAGACAGAGGGATATCGAGAAGCAGGTCGGTTCGCCAGAAGGGGGAGAGGAGGACCTTCTGCATATGGGGCATCCAACCAATGCGTCGCATTTGTTCTGTCCTTACATTTGACGACGTTGCTGTGTCGCTATACTTTGCAATGATTACTTTTGTTCCTTTCACCGCTACTCAGATAGTCGTTCATTTTTTTTTTTTTTTCCCTTCCGAATTCATCGCAGGTACAGTGCAAGCTGTGGTCCTTTGTGGGTAAGTCGCCTCCGACGGCAGAGATAAGTTAAGCGTTTCCCCGACTCATGACTGTCCACAGGGACGCCTCTACATTTGTTTGTCACCGCTTCCACGCCTCCTTCCCCGTGCAGGCTTCCTGCTGCTGCCCCTGTACAGCCTGAACAAGTTTAAGTACTACGACGCCAAGAGCAAAATTATTGTCGCACCGTTTTTTTCCATCGCGGGGATTTACCTGGGCTCCTTCCTCGGAAATGTGGCCACCGGCAGGTTGGAAAAGAGAGGCGCATCGCGCGGGCCCCTCCTCTCACGGGTGCAGCGTGGACGTGTTTTAACGCGCACGTTGTTTTGTTCGTTTGTTTGTTTGTCTGTTTGTTTGTCTGTTTGTTTGTCTGTCGGTCTGTTTTGCTTGTTTTGTTTTTTTTTTCTCCGTCTGGACAATGCCGTGTACGTACACGTCGTCCCGCCTTCTCCGTCGCGCAGATTTTCGGACTACAAACGGTCGAAGTTTCTTGGGACGTTACCGGCACACGTTTTTTTGAAGGAGTGAATAGACGGAAGGAGGTGCTCGTCCGTTATTCGGTTCGTTCGTTGGCGGCTGTAGCGATGGATCCTTATGTATGTACAGCACACCGTCAGGGGAGAGGTGCTCATTTGAAAAAGAAAAACGAGGAATCTTCCTTGGCAGTAGAAGACAGCCTTCTTTTCGAATATTATTAGTAACATTTTTCGTCCAACCTTTGGACTTCTCCTTTTTTTTTTTTTTTTCTTTTTTTTTTCCTGTTTTGACGTTGCCCCCCGTCTCAAGTACAACTGGCAGTGAATGCATCTCTTAACAACACACACAGTGGATGCGACGTGGAACTCCCTTTGTTTTGTCTCCCTTGTTAATTTCACATCGCAGGGGTGCTGAATCAGCACTAGAAGAAGATATTAAAAGGGGAGGGGGAAAAGAATAAATCGGAAAGTCACTTGGGAAGATAACAGAGTGGTGGTCTCCCTTCCCCCCACCCGCTAACGAACACATCAACACACCATCACAGACACATCGCTGTGCAAACCAATCAGTAACAGGATGAAGCTGTTCCAAAGAGGCCTCCTCCCCCTTGTGTGCTGCTCCGCTTGTTTGTCCCTTCTCACCGGAACGGACGCAGTGGCATACGACTTATCTAATTTGGGGTCGGCGGAAAAGAGGCTGGCCCTGAACCTGCTTCAGGTGTTCGAAGAGACGCGGAGTGCGGAGCGGGGGTTCTACGAGCGGCTGGACAACTCGCAGAAGATTTTCGACGAAGTGGGGGCGGGGAGAGCCCCGAAGGGAGGTGGTATTGGCGGCGGTGGTATTGGTAGTGGCGTAGTTCGGGGAACACCGCCCTCCTCCTTCGTGCAAGTGAAGTCCAAAGGGCCAGTCGAAGAGGAAACCATCTGGAGGGCCCTTTACGACACGCAGCTGAGGAGATCCCCGCCGAACGAACAGGTGCATGTTTACTCACTGGAGAATGTAAGCAAAGAATTCGAGCAAGCTCAGGCGGAAGCTTTTGTCTCTCAAATAGTTACGCTGAAGAATCAGTTTGAGTTGAATTTAAATCGCATGAGGGAGGAGCTGCCAAGGGTTAAAAAGGTACATGAAGCCATAAATGAAGCAATCGCTTTGGAGGAAAGAGTGGGGCAAGTGGGGCTGGCGCGGGGAAGCTCCAAAAACGCCGCCCTCAGGGGGGACAGCGGAACGAAGGTTCTCTGTTAGGCTGGCCAGATTGACCTAACTGGAGCTATATAGTGCCTGTACTACTTTTCGTGCAATTTTTTTCTGTCTTCCTCTGTGGAACCCTGTGTACATTTTCTCCGCCTCTGTTTTGTGCGCCTCTCTTTTGCCCACCTCTCTTTTGCCCACCTCTCTTTTGCCCACCTCTCTTTTGCCCACCCCTCTTCTCTCCTGCACCGTTCCCTTTTCTTTCTTGTCAAGTGTCTGAACGAGCCGCATCGCGCGTACTGGGGTGTGTGTCGATCTGGCTGGCACGTCGCTGTGGAGGAGGGACTTCTTCGGGCGTCCGGCCTCACAGAAATACCTTCCTCTTTGTGAGGGCGTCTTTGTAGTACTTGATTACGAGGAGAAATGACCTGCAGTTTTCCCGCACAGAGGAAAGGTCGTCCTCAAAGCGGGCGATGAATTTGCCATTCTTTGCAAATGGAGCGGTTACAATGCCGACATGTCTGACGTGGACATGACTTAAATCATTCTTGTAAGCTTCATCGACGAGGAAAACCTCTTTTCCGATATAGGGAGTGACTTCACTGGAGCAGTGAAACATATTTCTACAAATCAGCGTGTGGTTGTCCTGTACGCATTCTATCTGTCCGATCTTCTGCTTCTCATTGAGCAGTCTGAAGCTATTAAAACGGGGGAACTCACTAAGAGTCGGTTTCTTTCCTACGATGAAGGGGGCCTTCTGTCGAGGGTAGCCATCGTCAATGATGTCCTCAATAATGCCATGCAGGCAAATCCTGCAATTTAAGTTGTCGTCGTTTTTTATGAAAATACATTTCTCCTTTTTATAGCAGTGGATTCTTTTCTTCAGAATGACTAGGAAGAAGGTGTCGTCATCTCTGGGGAGGTCTTCATTTTCTTCCTCCTTCGTATGAGGCTCATCTGTGTTGAGGTTCTCCCCTGTGTTGAGGTTCTCCCCTGTGTTGAGGTTCCCCCCTGAGTTGAGGTTCCCCCCTGGTGTTTCTTTTTCTTCCTTTCCCTGTTTCCACGTTAGCTGCCTCACGAAGAGGTAATCTCCCTGTGGGTCGAAACGTCTTTTATACGACCTCTTCTTGTGTAGAGACGGTACAGAATGTCTTTCCTCGTGGGACGCTACCTCTCCCGCCGCAGAGGCCTTGTCAAATGGGCGGAAAAAGTACCCATAGCAAGGGGAGGTAGCAAAGCCGATCACACAAGAGAGTAACTCAGCATTATTGACACTCCTCCCGTAGTATTGTACCAACTTAACTCGACATATGAAAATGGAGAAGTGAGAGATGTTTGATCCTTCCGAAACGATAACACCTCTCTCGATTTTCTTGGCCGAGTTTCGCATATGGTCGTTACAGATTAGCAGAGACAATCGATTCCCTTTGATCCCTTCGTCTACTGCCTTTTTGAAGCTCTGAATTTCTTTAACTTTCCCCTTTTCTTTCATTGGCAGTATAGACACAGTGGTATTCTTTTTGATGGTCCCTCGGATGACTGTCCCTGTGTACACTCTTCCTTTTCCCCTGATGTCGAACGTGTGATCATAGAGGAAGTAGAATTCGCCTGGATGGTTCGCCACGGCTTGGTCGCCGTCATCACGCTCGTCATGGTTGCTCCCTCCCTCCACTTCTTCTTCTTCCTCCTCCCCGTGTGCTTTTTTCCCCCTCCGCGCCGGCACTCTGATGACCTCCCTCAGGAGGTTAATGAGCTGATGCACGTTTTCGCTTCGCGGGGTGAAGGTGCCGATCCCGCCACCGATGCTGGGAGAGCGATGTGGCTGCATCTGTGAGTGTGACTGTGGTCGCTGCTTCGACTGTGACTCTGGCTGCAACTGTGGCCGACCCCGCTCCTGTGAATCGCTTGGGGGGACCGATCTGGGTGCGTCTCCCCCTCCAGTTGGCTCTCCCCTCTTCGAGTCCGCGGACAATCCGACGACGTACCATTTGAGGTTCCTCAAACCGGCCTTACTCCTAAAAACTAATGATATTTTGTCCCTCATTAGGTTGACCCTTGTTTCTCTCTGTTCAGGGGGGACAAGATCCATTTTGTTGAGAACAACTACGACGTCTCTTTGGAGAACCTCGCATAGGACGAGACACTCGACGGTTTGTTTCTGAATCCCTTTGGTGATATCAATCAGGAGGAGGACCATGTCTGTTATTTCCGCCCCCATGATTATGCAATTGAGGAGAGAGTGGTGCCCTGGGCAGTCCACGAGACAGACCTGCAGCGTCTCTTCCTCGGGGGGGGAGCAGTCTGGTGCGGCAGCGTGCCCGTCACCATCGTAGGCGTTACTATGGCGAACATTACTATCGCGAACGTTACTGTGGCAGACTTTACCATCCAGAATCTCCCCAATGCTGATCGGACCACTTCCAACCTCCCCTGCTTGCGCGCGCTGTTCGCTTCTCCTCCTCTTGAGGTAAAAGGACGAGAAGCCCAGGTCGATGGTGATGCCTTTCTCCTGGCTCTGCCTGTGCTTGTCCAGGGCACAGGTGCTTAGCACTTCACTGAGGCACCTACAGAGACTCGTCTTCCCCGAGTCCACGTGCCCCAGCACGCCCACGTTTATGTTTATCATTTGTGGGGGGCGGCGGGAACGAACGGCGAAAAAAGAACAAAAAAAAAGAACAAAAAAAAAGAAGAAAAAAAAGAAGAAAAAAAAGAAGAAAAAAAAAGAAGGAAAAAAAGAAGGAAAAAAAAAATTCCAACCCTTTCCCATTAAGGGATGAGCATGATGAACACGATCTACAGGAGGTGTTGTATTGGCTCAGCCGCGTAGCTGTTTAGCCGCTTCGTCGCTTCCCTTTGGTTAACCCAGAGTGACGACCCCTCTGCGTCGGTTGAGCTTCCCCCGTTGTCGCGTCATTTCGTCGGTGGGGTTCCGCAGCCAGGCAGAGTAGATGTAGAGGCAGCTGTTCCCCCCTGTGCACGCGCGGGGGAAAAAAAAAAAAAAAAAACAGAAAAGCGGCAAAGCAGTGGCAAAGCAGTAGCAGAGTAGTAGCAAAGAAGTAGTAACGAAGTAGCAACACACTTGCTGAGCAAACGGGAGGAACGCGAAAGGGTGAACCCCACGAAATCGGCAACCGATGAACCTGCTTGCCCTCCACCTCACACATAGGAAAAGCAAAATGGAAATCGAAAAATGCTACGAGCACTCCTGCGGAGAGAGAGGAAAGGCAAAGAAGCATGGAATAAACGGTCTGAAGAATGGAAAAATATATCCACCCGATCGGGAGGAAATAGGAAGAGCGTCATGGCTAGTCCTCCATACCATGTCGGCAAACTATCCGAACGAACCAACAGAGGAAGACAAGAAAAAGCATTTCGATTTTTTCCACGCCTTTGCTAATTTGTATCCTTGCCATATCTGCAAGCTGGACCTTTTGGGGCACTTAAAAAGTCACCGAATGAACTGTGATGGCAGGACTGTGTTGGCCACTTTTATGTTTAATCTACACAACAGGGTGAATGAGGACATCGGGAAGGCCCCCTTTCCCTGCGGAGACATCCAGGAGATTATTGATATGTATAGGACGGCCGACTAAGGGGAGCAGTGCGGATCGTCTTTTTTTTTTTCTGCTAAGAAAAGACAAACGGACGGGTGGAAAAGTTTATCGCGAGTCAGGGTGTATCTCACGTAGAGAGGAGTAGCCAAACGTGCACGCAACAGTGAAACGATGTGAAGGTACAGCGGCCGAACCGCTAAACCGTGGGTCGGCCAGCTACGCCCTGGACAGTGCGTCCAATCAGTTATTGGGGCAGGCCACCTCAGCACAGTCGATGTCCTCAGAGGGGCTTCCACCACTTGGTGCAGTCCGCTGCATCGACTTGGCCGATCTAGCAGATCCATATATTCCCCTATGGGGAT